TTCTGTGTACAGCGTTTCTACGACTTGCGATGAGGGGGTGTATGAGAATGATTCCTCGACTTGTCCATTATGCCAAGTGCAGGTAAGGGGTTCAACATTAGTCAATTCAGTATACACGGGGGATTCATCATTTTCTGATAAATCCATACTGGTGATAAATAGCAATATATTTAATGTCCGAATAATACACAGATGAGTTCCAAATTGCTATATTGGCACAGCGATCACAGCGTGTGCGAGTGATTATTTCTCAGTACACCTGTACGGATTGCAGTGAACAATAGAGCACTTATAATAAAGTGTCCAGGTGTGGGTGAGCGATGTCGTCACGGTATGTGAACACACTACGGACACACAAAGGAACTGTCCATATTCAGTTTAAACATACTTTTCGAAGTATTTTAGTCACTAGGAAGCTCCTAATGCAATAAACATGTTATTAACATACACCTTACCAAATATTGTGACGTTCCAGCTGGTATAAACGCTGTAGAAGCGTAATGAACACGGAGCATTGCGGGTTACGTCCAGCCGTCAAATGATCTCTGAAATGTAGCCAGCAGAATTCTTTGAAACTTTTACATAATGGTTAAGCAACTATGCCGAGGTGATTTTATGAAAATCAAATCATCCCGGTAGGTTGGAGATTTTTTGTAAGAAAGTAAAAAAAAAGTGACTTTTCATCAACTTTGATATTTTCCATTTTTCAGATGTGTGGCATTGTTTGGGACTATAAACAATAAAAACACAAAAATGAAAAGAAGCTTTGCTTGTTAACCCAACAAATATTTTATTTATAACTGGATGGCATTTAGTTATATTGATGATGTTGTTGATGAGATGGCCATATTTTTTGGCAAAAACGCTTGCTTTGTTCTGCGTTCTGCATCGACTTACCAAATTTTACAGTGGGTGTTTCCTTACTTCACACCTCCAGTGTTTTGCTGGTATTTTATTTTTTTTGTGTTTTTGTGTTTTTCGGGAGGGAGGGGGGTTCTTTTATATATATATTTATTCAGAGTAAAATAACTATTTTGGTATATCGTTATAGATACGTGTAATTTTGTACATCAAATTTATCCCGATGCCTTACTTGAACAGCATTTTTAGCAGCCTAATTAAAGAGTTATTGCTGGATATGTCATGTTTAACAGAATTGTTGGTAGTATGAATTTCAACTATAACCACACTGGCGATTGTACGTGCTCTGCTTGTCATCCCAATCCATGGTTGTCATATTAAGCTATGTAAAGACTGCTGTCACAAAGTTGGGGAATGTCAAATAAGCTTGGAGTCAATACACTTGATGTCGAGGTCGAATTATTTATATGTTTTTACTGAATTGGCAACATTAAAACATGCAGATAACATTTAAACTTATATACATATAGATAGTTTTTCAGACACATGGCCTAGAGGTCCTCCTCATCAGACTCACATGAATAGATTCCATTCCGATTGCTCGTAAGGGACCTGCGTATTTGTCCAGTGTCTGTCTAGCCTGTTTTAAAATGAGTTGATTATTAAACAGTCACTAGNGCTTTGAGACGACCTACGAACTAGGTGGTGATAAAGCGGTATATAATTCCACAATCATTAATTGAGTCCAGGTGCAGTTCCCGTCGGGTGACCTCCTCTGGGGGTAAATAATAGTCGGTTATTGATTTTGGTTACCGGTTCGTGGTCATCTGACACAGTAACCAAGTAATCGGTTAAACGTTGACAACCCTAATAGTTTACAATCATTTTAACACTTATTACATATATGAAATATAATTTGAAGAATACAAATCGATAAGTGCCAACAACAGGGAACTGGTTGTATTGTTTTTTCCTTAACGGAAAATAGAGTATATATGATTCTTACTCATTATTAAATTACTTTTTAATGGCAATGCACATGCTGCACGGCCAGGGAGCAAGTAGAAGAACAGACCTACCATACCATGCAATGTATAGAAAATTAAGAAATGAACGTTTCCGTTTAGATCTGCAATATTTAGAAGGCTTGATATTCAAGAATTTCCTATTCTGTTATATTCTACAGAGATATGGAGTTTCGAAAATACTTCTATCATTGAAAAATACTTATCAATCTTGCCAGACTATTAAAAAACATTTGAATAGCAATGCTAACTTTAAAAAGCAATCTAGTGTCATGTATAAGGAAATAAAACAGTTTCAAGACAATAATGACACCCATTAAAAAAATGTGTAAAGTCGTGAACTGGCTACATGGCTACAGTAAACGAATGTACTAATGATTGGGATCATCTATACGCATGTTTAACATAGTGTTGTGCTACCAATTGCTCACCAATGGTAAACAGACCTTCTCTTGTTTGGTAGAAAATTCATCAGTGTGTCAAACCTACTCTTCATCTAAACTGAATTTTGTACTTGACTGCTACTGACTTAATCTTAAACAGTAAGATAAGTTGTAGGTTAGCCGTATTAAAGTATGTATATCAGAACGTCTAATTCAAAACTGTCTGTCGGTCTAACATACCACGACAAGAAAAACAATCCTCTTGGTACGAACGTCTATTACTGTCACATGTAGGAATATAAGATAAGATATAAAAAATACTGGAAATTCGTAATAACGCGGAAATACACATTATTACGAGAACTAACACGTTATATTTACATTTGCTCTGCACCCTTCCATTGCAATGCATTGCGAAGGCAAATAATGTTATGAGATTATAACAACATTTGCTATTGTAATGTCATCAATCTGTATTGTGACATCATCAAATTTATTGTTGTCAACACTTAAGTTGTTGTTCAAAATCTGTTAGAAATAACTAAATAAAGCATAACTACTTTATCAAAATGTAAACATAAATTATGAATATTTCAGCAAATATTGTTATGGTCCTATATCACACATTTCTATTACTGACGAACTTATACATAAAGCCCTACCAGGCTTTATTACAAGTTTCTCATTAATAGCAATGTGTGTTATAGGACCATAACGACATTTGCTAAAACATTAATTGCCAAACCAACTGAATAGAAGTCAGTACACTAAAGTCCTCTATTAGGTGAGAGCCAAACACAAATGTGAACTGGGGATCAGTTATCTCGATGCCTCTAGCCTATGAGAGAGACCGTGACTAACGCTTAGAAAAAATACACTACCCCAAGACACGAGGACCACAAAAGTACTCATCGTATTTATTGGGGTCATGCCATTACGACCCAATCGCTTGTAGAACTTACCATAGTTTATACGGAAAAATAAGTCTTTTCTCTATAAACTGTACATTCAAAGACTACATAGTTTCACACTTGGTAGCGACGGATAATAAATAATAAGTATTGTTATGGCATGCAACCTGTGACCCCTCGGTTGATGTGAGAAACAATTGGTGTGTGTATAACTATGGCTGTATCTCGTGGAATTTTGTTCCGACCGGACCCCGCAAAAAGCACAATATGCGTATTTACATGCTTATTTGCGTTATTCCGCGTTTGTTTGTGTAACAACGTGATTTTTTGGGGGGTTATAACGTGGGGGTTTTCACCTTATTACGACTTTCCAGTTTTAGTTTTTTTATAATTGACTCGATGAGGCTTTCGTATGTTGGTGATGAGTTTCTTTATAAATAATGTAGAACCATATACGTGACTATTACATTCGAATCTCATTTTCATCGAATGAAAGGATTATTATTGATTTGCAATGTCCGAATTATATGTTTACAGTTCATTTAACAGAAGGTGGGAAAATAAGTGAAAAGGAAACATTAAGGTACTTACCAGAGCATTAATTTGTTGTGATCAACAATCGTCCTTTCAATATTTCCATTGTTTTCTATTATTTCTGACCATTTTTTATTAGTAATTATGTGTGCCTAGGTGCTCTGATAACATCTAAACTTAGGCTGTTTGCAGTAATGATGACTGTTAAGTAACCTTTGTCTTGCAGACTTTACCACATAGTACCCATCTTAAGACCAAGCAACGTTAAATGGATCGCTACTGTCAACACCGGGGCCAACAGTCCACTGGACAGGTATCCTTATTATTTGAAAATACGGAATGTAACAAATCTACTCCAGACCGCAAACGGAAAATTTTCCGTTCTGAGCATCAACAGCAACCGAACTATTTTCCATTTAGGAGAGATGATATCCGTAAGAATCGACTTGTATAATGGGTATGGACAACACCTGTCCTCTGGCGGGGACCTCCTTCGAATATGGATGACGGACACATCCAGTAATGCTAATGTAAATGGCTACGTCACTGACCTCGGGAATGGCTCTTACATAGGTCACGTGTTGGCTGTGTGGAAGGGAAAAGCACTGATTAAAGTATCAATTGCAAATACAAAGGAACAGGTCGGGTTAGTAGCACAATATTTAGAGAAACACGGATTGCTGAGAAACATAAAAGCTACCTTTAGGTCAGATGATATGAAGGTATGGGAGACGACACGGTGTTCTGTTAAACCCGATGTTCACACAGTGGTGTGTAATTTTACGAAGGAAAATCATGGTCTACATTGGTACTGCACTCGCCCACGAAATACGCTACTTACGTGCCAAGATTGGAGGTCAACGACTGGCACCGATATCAACAGTCTCAGTCCTATTGCCGTCAGATTATCAAGGTGAATGTATGAAAAAATCTGTATAAAACAAGACATGGCTTTCATGGAGTAAATTGTTTGAGCAATCTGTTTCTGCTATTTTGTAATATTGCACATGTTTTCGATTGAAAACGTAATGATATCAAGACGTTCAATTAACAATCTACTGTTTCAACATTATGCGCCAGCTTGATAATAAGCTAAAATCGATAATGGGCTATGTGATATTCGAGTCAAGCAAAGGCAGAAGGTTAAATGTTATTGAAAAATAAGCCGGTCTCAAAGAATACATTTCAGGATTTCGTTGCTAAAACATAGCCGAGATCATATGACTATGGGTTTCTTAATGAAAATGTAAAGATCGACATATATCGCTCAAAACATGTCCGGATCATTTGTATACATGATCAGTTACTCGTTCTTTGTATCAACATAATAAGGCTTCATTAATATGTTGAATTTTTTTCAACAGATTCCACAAGAATATGCTGTTAAATAACCAGCCAGTAATCACTGTGACAGGAGGTAGGCCTACATTATAGCAAGGCATTTCTTTATATTTTGTTTCACAGTAGTACTCGGGGGGGAATGACTCACATGTTCGACATATTTGAACGATTAATATAGATATTCAGTGTAGTTTCTGATTTATACGTGCATATGCTGGATATGAGATATGGACATCTAAGATATTGTGAAACGTATAGATGTTATGGGTTTTATTATATTTTATTGCCATAAGTATACATACAGCAAAAGGAATTGGGCACAAGTTCCTTTGACATTATGGACGACATTTCCCTATGTAAAACAACAATATATATAGATATATACAATGAAAGATGACTGGGTGTAACATAATAACAAATTGTAGTTATAATGTGAAAAACAAAGCGAAAACCAAGCAATCAACACACTCATGACGACAGTCAGACAGACAGACGGACACACTTTTGCCACATGAGTACTTACTGTAAGTGCGTTACATTTGCCATCTTGAATTCCCTATGATTTAATAAATATATTTTATTAGCTGTTTTATCAATGCCAATGTGATTCTCCGTGTCAGTAGTACGAATTACTATCTTATATGCTCGATTTGTAGAGGATTAGCTTACACAGAACTACGATAACATGTATACCTTGTTTTCACGTGTTTGAAATAGCAATCATGAGATATCTACAATAACAGAGAACGCGAGTTATTAACCTCGGTCAGGTTCCGTCAGATATTCATAGAATGTTAGCTCGTCTGTGATATACATTGTAGATGTAGTTTTTATAGTTAAAAATGTTTCTATCGGTTTGATAGAAAATCTATGTCTTAAGTTTGATATGGCGACAGCGGTACAATGTTACTCCAATTTCGTATCATTGATGAATTACCGAATAATAAGCAGTACCTATGTCTTTCAGAAGACCAGTGCCTCCAGTCCGATATGACTCCATGCCACAAGCGACCAAAGAGAGACACGTGGCGGGAAACATCACCTTCTGGTTTCTATTACCAAGGACGATGGCGCACACTGCAATGCTCAAACAAACTTGATCATCCCGTATCTAGGTCATACGTTAACTGCCTTAGAGGGTGTCATGTGTTACTGATCGGGGATTCCAATCTCCGTTCATGGTTTATACACATTAACCATATGCTTAATATGACCATAACGACAGAAAAAATAAACATCAAATGGTATACGACATTAGAAGCTGAAAATGTTAAGCTTAACGCGTCCCTTGCTTTGGCCGTGCACGCAAATCCCTTTTATGGCGGTTACAACGCTCTACCGAAAACTTCGGTACAGTCAGTAGCTTGGCAATTGGACCAGGTGAACACGACAAGACACATTGTTGTTGTGATTCACATGTATCTGCATTTGGCTAGGACAATTCCAGATGAGTATCGTGCACATGTGAAAGAAGCTAAACGAGGCATTGACAGACTTTTCAAGCGTGCGCCAAACGCTGCCGTTTTTATCAAAGGACCTCATGGAGTAACGACATCGAGCTTCCAAGCACCTGTGGATTTTATCAGAAAGATTCAGGAGCAAATACTATTTGAGGAATTTAAAAACATAATTGATAAAGTAGTGTTTCTGAATCAATGGGACATGACGGCTGGAAGTGCCAGTATCCCTATCCATACCAATAAGGATCATTTAAACAACATGGTCGATCTTTTCCTATCATATTTTTGCCATTAGGTATCACTAATTCTTTATCCAAATACCCTGAACAGTGTTTTGGAGAAAGTCACTGCTAGTCGACAGCATGTACCTTGTTTATGAATAGCAAACTGAAGCAATGATATTGAAGGTCGCAGGGCATCATGATATTAATGAATGGAAGACAAAATGTTCCTGCCATTCGAATCCACCTTCAGACAGCTGTGTAGGCCGGAGAATAGCTAGTTTATGTTACAGATTTAACCAATTGTTTGTATAAAATTGCAGACCTGTCCCGTGACAAATCCCTAATAAAAATTAATAGACACAGATTTATTTTTGGAAAATATTAAAAATGTTCACATTTTATTTGCAAATGTAAACCGAGAAATATACATTGATACAGGTAACATAAAAACAGTGTTTACAGGAATAGGAACAGAATTGTACCGGTTGAAAGTTGGATTTTCTATGTTAAATCAATTGAACTAGTAGACATGCTTTTGTATAGTATTTCTGCTGTTGTTTTATCGGAATATTCACTTTAGCAAAAAATGCAATAAATGTTCAAGATAGAAAAGCATTTGGCCTGCGTATTTGTCCATTGTCTGTCTAGCCTGTTTTAAAATGAGGTGATAATTAAACAGTCACTACAGACTCTGGAAGATCATTCCAAATATGCACTGAGTGTGAACAAATATTTCTTCTGTCTCAAGAACTTGATTGTGGATACAATTTTTATGGTAATTCGTTGAATGTATTCAATNAATATGCACTGAGTGTGAACAAATATTTCTTCTGTCTCAAGAACTTGATTGTGGATACAATTTCTATGGTAATTCGTTGAATGTATTCAAGTTCTTCAACGTATTTCATGTTGTACGGTGTCCAGTCTGGAGCTGCGAAGTATTTTCTCTATTAAAAATAACATTTATATGGCTGTTGATTTCTTTTCTTTTTTCTTTTGCATTGAAATGTTTTTTTCGAAATTTAAGGCAGTGTTTATAGTAAGTCCTACATCCTTCTCGATTTCGTTTTTCTTTTTTTTTATATTGTTAAGTTTATATGATATATGTATACGTTGTAGCGTTTTACCGAAATGCATTTTCTTGCATTTCAAGGGTAAGATTTTAGGAGCCATGCGCCAACCATGTGGTCATCTCGTTTAGGACACATGATATATTCCGTGATTTTCTGCTATATATGTTTGTGTCGTCAGATAATAGAAGCAGTGTTGAATCCGAAGAGCTTGACAAGTTATGATTTCAGGTTTAAAGATTACAAACAAGATAGACCTGATAACAGAATCTGAGTGTTAACGGATGTGACCTCCAATCAAGAAAGTGACCTATTATTGTCAGTCACGCTTTGCCTCCTACTTCGGAAAGCAATACCAACAGCTTCAAAACAGAACTGAACTTCCTGAACGTTCGCCTCCATTCCCGACTGTTGCCTGCAACTAAATGCATGACTATCGTGGTTCAAAATGACTGAAATAGTCTTGCTCAAAGTTAAAGCAGAGAAATCCCAACCTAGTGATGTCCTAGAACAAAATAAATACGTTTAGTAAACATAGCATGCAGGTGCTCGCTCTCTGCATTGAATATGTACGTCCTAATACGTTCCAAAAGATAAAGAGTGGAAACATGATGCTATGGATTAAAGGCCTTTAATACATCTTTGCCAAGCATATTATGAACTATGCAAAACAACCCAAAAAATCAATACTGTTACCGACGTCAAGTTATGTAAATTATTTAACATATCTATTCAAAAGTGTTTCAATCTGAAGGTCTTAAGGTTGGATAACTATATACTTATATACTTATGCTACCGCTTTCTGAGCTAGCTCATCAATCCTCGGACTATAACCTCATACATGTAGATTTAANATTTGTGAAGTATGAACTCTATATAAGTATACTAAACGTGAACAAGGAATCATCCTACACCATTTTATATGATATATTTTTGGTCTTGGTTATGTCTATGCATGTACATAATATATTTTATATATAAAATATTAAACGGTGAACTTTTTTCATCGCGCTAACAGTGGGTTACGGAATACAGTTCTGAATATCTGTATATTTGCAGCAAAACACAGCACCAGAATGTAACATTAGATTAATTGATGGCAAACGAACTTTACATTATAAACGTTTAAGGTTTCTGCAATTATGTTGTTAGCAACCATCTTTCCAAAACAGTGGTCCATACACTTTGGACTGGAGGAAGCTACCGCTTTCTGAGCTAGCTCATCAATCCTCGGACTATAACTTCATACATGTAGATTTACCTGCTTTGTTAGTTCCAATGACCTATTAGAACTGAAAACAGCTGTGTATATTTGATTCAGTAATTACAATATGGTGTCTGTTAAGGATCGATCTAACAATTAAACATGTGTATAACGTCAGTATCATATCATACAGTGTAACAGTAAACATAAATACAATCTCGCGGAAGTGGTCATTTTCTCGTCTATTCAACGGGAGATCAATTCGTAATTTAATCAACAAAAATATAAATTATCAGTATTGATATAGCATCATCTCAAACGCGAATAAAACATACAGGCAGAATTCTCGAAATACAAAGGAAAATAAAATGGTCTGCAGTACATCTCTGATTTTAATGCTTTAGTTTAAAATTTGAAGTTTGGTTTACCTTTTAAAATTCTATTATACTTCTCCTATGATATATCGTCAATCCCATGTATAATACTAAACTTTTTAAGATTTTACATCACTCAGAAATAGCGCTAGTTATTCGGCCTGAGCTTCATGATATAAGATGGTGTTTTTTGCATTCGTGGTGAACGTGGTGAATCTTTTTATAGTGATACAGTCAGTTTTAAGGCTAGGCAATACAAGGTCATGAATTTCATAATGACGCCTTTGGCTAGAGTTCTTTTTTGGCTGGAAGTCATGGGTTGTTTTCCAATGACTGAATCGACAAATTAAAACAAAAATTATGTCCGTATATTTTTGTGCCATTTTACGCTAAGGTAATGTGACGTCATTATTCCGTTCTCGACACTGTTTTGTCCGCCATTACTATTCTGTTCAAGTTTTCGTGAAACAAGTTCTAATACTTCCTGGTTGTAAGTCGACTACTGACCAGGCTGTTGTACGTCTGTTATAGTGTTTATTTGTGTACTATATCCAGCTGTTGGTCTTCTACCTCCTTGTTGTAAGTCGACTACTGACCAGGTTGTTACTTCTGTTTTAGTGTTTATTTGTGTACTATACCCAGCTGTTGGTATACTACTTCCTTGTTGTAAGTCGACTACTGACCAGGTTGTTATACGTCTGTTTAAGTGTTTATTTGTGTACTATATCATGCTGTTGGTCTACTACCTCCTTGTTGTAAGTCGACTACTGACCAGGTTGTTACTTCTGTTTTAGTGTTTATTTGTGTACTATACCCAGCTGTTGGTATACTACTTCCTTGTTGTAAGTCGACTACTGACCAGGTTGTTGTACTTCTGTTTTAGTGTTTATCAGTGTAGCATACCCAGCTGTTGGTCTAATAGCTCCTGGTTGTAAGTCGACTACTGACCAGGTTGTTGTACTTTTGTTTTTGTGTTTATCAGTGTAGCATACCCAGCTGTTGGTCTAATAACTCCTGGTTGTAAGTCGACTACTGACCAGGTTGTTGTACTTCTGTTTAAGTGTTTATCAGTGTAGCATACCCAGCTGTTTGTCAAATAACTCCTGGTTGGAAGTCGACTACTGTCCATGTTGTTGTACTTCCGTTTTAGTGTTTAATAGTGTACTATATCCAACTATTGAAAGTCGACTGCTTCCAGGATAATGGCATCCTTGAAGTCTGGCTAACGTTCTAGAACATAAGTGAGCGTAGCCCCTGCAACATTGAGAATGGGATTTTGGTACCAAGATGTCACTTTATCCCTCATGTTTTATCAAATTATTTAAATTTCTTTTGTTTAAGATATCTTTCTTTGTCTGATAATGAAAGTTTCCTTTGCTGGTTGCATTTCCTAGTAAAGGGTATATACAGAGACGTATAAAGCCAGTGTGTAGTATGTATACGTCTCTGGAATACATGTACATGTACTTTTATGTGTGTTTTACGTAACCAAACCACTAGTACAGTCTCCGCTCGTTTTAAATGGAGTCGATAGCTGTATGGGAATTTTTTTTAATCTGCTTTATAAAGGATATAAACCTTCATTTTGTTTGTATATTGATACACCCTAGATAATTAACAACAGTGAAAACGTCAGGCGTGCGTCATCTGTCCAATTCAGCGATCCTGGTCGCTTATATTATATTACCGTTACCTCATGCGCGATCATGATCAGGTCGTTAGGTATTACTCTGTAATCTGTGTCCTGTGTGATCTATTTAGATTCTACGTTTTTATGGTGAATGTTGTTCATTGCTATTATAGAATATTTGGTTGACAGTTCCTTTTCACTCATAGTATCTCTCAAGATTCAGTATCACAAGGAAGCCTTGTTCCTAGGGGTTGTTTTTCACAGCTCATTGAAATGGGACGCTCATATCCGCACCATCACAAATGTTCGTCACTGAAGTTAACAGCTTACAAGTCGCTAGTAAGATCCGTCTTGGAATAAGCAAAACAACATCCATTCTTTGGAAAAGATACAACGTCGCGCTTCCCGGTTCCTAACATCTGATTTCCGGAGAGAAAGCAGCGTGACATTGATGCTGGATGCCCTGAAACAGCCTTCACGCAGGGATCGCAGAAGGGACCATCGACTTGTCATCTTCTATAAACTTGTAAAAGGGCTAGTGGCTGTACCTGCAAACGAAGTCTTATCTACATCAAATAATCGGACCAGAGCAAAGAACAGTGAAAAATTCCGGCAATTTCAGTGTGATACTGACAGTTACAAGAACTCATTCTTTCCTCTTAAAAGAAGATCTGGTCAAAACAACCGACTTACAAACTTTTACAACTTTACTGCCAACAAATTAAATCCAAAGCGCACTCCTCCAATCCTGAAAATATACTCGATATCGAAGTTCTTCCTGTATAGTACCACACAGATACAGACTAACTTTTATCAGAGACATATTGGCCTATTGCTAACCTATTTTAGATAATTCCCGTTGCAAAATTTACTAATCTAGACTGTGAAGATAAGCTTGTCTGGCTGTTGAATGCTGGACAATTGACAATATTGCAGGAACTGGAAAAATGTTTGCAGCTTAACTGTCATGATTTCATTAAACTGCACTATGCTGTGGTGGAAGGGAGATAACTCAGGGTAGGAACAACGGACAGTCACATAATTTTGTCCATGATGGCTTTTAATTTTACTGTACTGTATTGTACATGCATATCTAGTCACTTGAGTGGGCAATTTTTTGTTATTCATTCTGGTCCTCATGGGCCCTTAATTGGACTAAAATCTTGTATCTTGTATAAAACAAAACTCATAAGATTTTAATTAGAATTGTTGAATTATTTAAAATGTCATGTTCAGGCATACATTTAGGATCTAATTCCGTTGGCAAAGTGTTAAAAATCCCATGCAATATACTTTTTTGTACCTATCAAGTATTTTTGTTTAATTTCGCTTTGTCTTTGATACACCCTTGCTGTACAGACTTGTGAAGCATATACCAGTACTGGCCTACATTGTGCTTATTATATAATTAACCACAAATAAATAATATAATTTGTTTCCCCATCCTCAGAATATAATGTGCCCATTCCTGAAGGGAAACATACTAATGAGAAGTCTAGCATTACAACATGTTGTGAGGATAGTGCTTGACAATGTACATCTGGGCCTATCATCTCAAACTCAAACTCAGATTCTATGTTCAACCTCAAATCTTAGCTCGAGAGAGAAAATACCAGAGTATATTCAAATCATTCCCCTTTTTTCAATACTTGTTCAAGGCTTGTACACTGTAGATCACTACAGATATATTTAGTATAGTAACTCAAAAAGATGGTATATGTTAGCATGAGCATATAAAAAAAAAGCATATACCACAAAGGTATATGCTCAGGTACACGAACAATTTTATGAATACAGGACCTGGTTGATTAATGTTTATAACTGACATGAAGTCTTTTAGCACAGAGAAGTAAGGTAAATAAGCCATTTGTCTTTTTTCCACCTCCAAAAAAAAAAAGGACAATAGGCCCAGAGGGCCTATTAAATCGCTCACCTGGATATTTGAGCAATCATTGGAAAATATTCTCAATAAAAATAATTTTGCAAATATTTCCATATATTCTATCTTCTTACCTTAAGAATATTCTAGACTAAATAAAACTGTATACTAATTTATCCCAGCATACAACTGGTAAAATAAAATCACCCAGGGTCCTGGAAAAGAAGTTGTTCAAATATTTATTTTACATATTTGACCCCTTTGACCTTGGAAGTACAATGTAGATCGAGGTCATTTATTTGGAGAAACTTTACAGCACTCCATGTCAGGTACCTACTAACCAACTATCATCACCCTGGCTAATCAGAAAAAGTTGTTAAAAGGGGTTTTATTTATATGATGCCTGTGACCTTTAAAGAAGGTCAAGGTCATTTATTTTGAGAAAGCTTATAGCACTTCGTCCCAGATACCTACCAGTAAAGTTTCATCGCCTTTTGTTTCTTACTGATTTAGAAGTCGCTCTAAAGTTTAACATATTTTACCCATGTAATCTTGAACAAAGTCGTCTTAGGTACCTACATTTCTCTAGGCCTGTTAGTTATATAGAAGATGTTGTTTGATTTTTTTTTTTTTTTACATGTTTGTCTCATGTTACCTTGAAGGTACATATGTAGGTCAAGGTCATTTATTTGAGGAAAGTTTATTGCGTTCTGACCCAGGTAACTACTGGCTAAATATAATGGCCCTAGGCCCTACAGTGCTTTATAAAAAGTCATGCAATGAAAAATGGTATAGATGATGGTCAACAGATGACAGACAACACAGTACACCATTCCAGAAGCTTATGTGAACTAAAGGTTATTAAAAGTAAAACAATCCAAGTGATGTCTCTTATCATGTTTTATATTGAATTCAACACATTTGTTATTGTACATAAGTTTTCAATACATATAATGTTATCTCTTTGTCTTTCCATGCCACACACCTAAGCGTTCACAAGCATTAATTCTCATATCTTCCTATATTAACACAAACATTTACAACATCAGCAGTCTTTGGCTTATATATAGTCAGAGATTTAGATGTCTGACACGATGAACATAATATTTTTATAATTAAAAACAACTGAATTGACAACATTACGGTATTAAAACAGGTTATAAGTATGGATGATAACCTTAAAGTCTAGGTATGTACATACATTAATTTTGTTTATCTTACACTTTGTTTATACACTTATAATAAAATTAATAGCTAGAAAACATGGTACAGTACTGTATTATCAGTTATACTTATTAACCATCATGTAATGGTACATTGCCAATGAGTCTCTGCTGCATGCATAGCATGTACAGTTTAAACAACCCAGTCTCTGCTAGGTCTCGGCAAGTTAATTACCCAGTTTGGAGTAGTGGTACATGTATTGATATTTACTTGTATGAATGGGTTAATATGACAGTCGCATATTTCTAAATATATATATATCTTTTGAATTATAAGTAGATACAGCAAATCACTTTATTGCATGGACACTCATTAACAAATCAAACTTGTCAGTGAATATAAATTTCATACACCTGGTACTGTATAATCACTTTCAATATTGAAATGACACCCTCTTTTTTATAAAATGAAGTACATTGTATGTATTGCAAGAAAACCTACAGGCATAGTGCAAATTTACGACATTAAGTGTATAAAGCAAAATAACATTATTTACAGGAATTTTTTCAATTTCTTTGGAATGACAACATTGACAACTTACATACACGGTAACTATGGGGGAAAGATCTGCTCATTACAGCTCAAATAGTAGAAGCAAAGGCATTGAGGACAGCCAAAAATAACATCTGTAATGTACTTAACAAATTCTTGCCCTCTGATTGGTTGGATGAAATAACTGGTATTGTGATACCATACAATTGTATGTGGTTCCTTGGTGGTACATATTAACTATATAATATCTAGGGTTGACATTTTCACCAGTATTTGCAAATAATTCTACAAATTGTACAATACTTAAAAATGGTTTCTATTTACCAAAGTCAGTTAAAAACCCTTACAGCAGCTAAATATGTTTTTCTCGCCGATAAGCCAGGCCACTGTACATATACATTGTATGAATATGATCTTTGATTTCACCTTACAACTACAGTGTTATCATGATTTCACCTTACAACTACAGTGTTATCATGATTTCACCTTACAACTAGTGTTATCATGATTTCACCTTACAACTACAGTGTTATCATAATTTCACCTTACAACTACAGTGTTATCATGATTTCACCTTACAACTAGTGTTATTATGATTTCACCTAGCAACTACAGTGTTATCATGATTTCACCTTACAACTACAGTGTTATCATGATTTCACCTTACAACTTCGGTGTTATCATGATTTCACCTTACAACTACAGTGTTATCATGATTTCACCTTACAACTAGTTATCATGATTTCACCTGACAACTACAGTGTTATCATGATTTCACCTTACAACTACAGTGTTATCATGATTTCACCTTACAACTAGTTATCATGATTTCACATTACAACTATTGTTATCATGATTTCACCTTACAACTACAGTGTTATCATGATTTTACCTTACAACTACAGTGTTATCATGATTTCACCTTACAACTACAGTATTATCATGATTTCACTTTACAACTACAGTATGATCTACAGATTTCATGATCATGTGCATCAGGGTCAACCAAACCCTTCAAAAATCATGAAGAAATTTTCAGATGTTAAAATAAAAAAGAATGAGAAATTCACTTTAATATAACAAGATTGCACTTAAGTTCAAGGTTTGACTCGGTTTGAGAACACATAATCATAAATGAGTGATTCAAAACTTAACAACAGCAGAAAGTGAAAGATACTATTTGTTATGAAAAAAAAAGTGAAATTTAATGTACATGTATAATGTATCTTAAAAATGGAAAAAGAGAAAAGTTGAAATCAATAGCTTAAAAGGATTTTATGAATGTCACATGAAATAAAATATACAAGAAAAAAAGCACTGTCTTTCCCATTACCAAATATTTCTTTACAGTGTGACAATGTAAGCTAGAAGAGGTCCAATTCATATGGACAAGCATACATATTCATCTAACCACTGGTCAAGGTAATGACATCAGTACATGTTACAGGTCAGCCACCTAAGGCCAAGCTGTGAATTTGATGTAAAGTCACACTATGCATCATATGAACACATGTTAAAGACATTGGAGATGTTTTATGGACCCTGTTGTCAGCATTACTCAACCACTGGGTTAGAATGACATGTAGGAACTAGCTCTCAGTCCATGGACACCTTAACTTGTCAAATGAGATGACAAAAGTCAACACAAGACCTCCTGTTCCTACTGTCTATGACAGCACTACACAATACTGAATCTCTGACCATGTCAACTAAACTATTGGGTTTAACGACTTTCTAGTGATTTTCGTTCCTTGTCTTGAAAACTCAGTCAATGAATGGTACATGATAATCCTTGACCCGATGGTTCAAATTATGTGAATGTTATTGTAGTTCTTGACATGATGGTTCACAGTCAGTAAACCGTTATTAATCTTTGAAGCTATTAAGCCAATTTATATGGGTGTTTCACCCAATCACCCCACAACAAAATGCTTGAAGCTTTTCAGAAATCCTTCAACAAATCTCTGAAAGTCTGCGATACAGACTTTCTCCAGGTGTCCCTGATATGACAATGACATTGGCTCTGACATTAAGTAATTGCAGTTAAGACAATGTCTCCTTAATTACATTTTCCAGAATCTCTTTAAATCCATTTCCTTGAAGCTTTGATCCAATAGTCCAAATCTACAGTGTCCGTTAGCCTTTCACCACACAGACAGAATGTCTTAATATCACCAAATAAAATCCTTAATCATCACTTGGAAGTCTGGATATTTCAACAAATGTCTTTGACCCCACCACCAGGAGTCCTTGCCCTATGGTCAGTGCTGCCACAGTGAGAAGGAGGGGACGGTTGTCCTACTGTTGTTTAGGGGTAGATCTGGTGTACCAGCCAGCACATCTCCCGTAACTGAGGCCATAGCCTGCAGAAATCAATGTTCACAATTTAGTTGTACAGTTTAAGCAAAATATATGTGTATACATTGTAAGTGTCCAGTTTGATTGACATCAAAACCGACTGTAGAGCATCATGGATATATATAGCTGATCTTAGGGTAATTAAATTTACACTCCCTATATTTAAATTCACACTCAAATATACCTGCAGTATCAGTTCCAGTTATTTTACCAACTACTGCCGCACCAATAACTTATAGTTGTTGGTAACTGTTTTACATGGTTGCTAATGTTCTGGATGTTTTCAATATTAAAATGTATTGCTTCCCTACCATATTGGAGTCTGTGTAGTTATTCTGCCCTCTGTAGGGTTGAGATTTCATCACATATGCTGATCCTGGTCGTGAGAAGTGAGCAAAGTCTGACTGCTGTATGCCATGTACGGATGGATTTACATTGGCTGGATCATGAGACACCTGCAATAAAAAAAATCTTTTTTCACAATTATGAAACGTTTGTAATCCATATCATCAACTTTTTTTTCTATTATTGACACTTGCAATGATGAAGTAAGTTTAAATGTTTGAAACAATCAAAGTCTACTGGGGCACTCTGGGAATATACAGAACAGACATTTTCTTCAGATTTTGTAGTTTTTAACAATTTACAATCTCAAAACCAAGATTTCTACATTGAGGGAATCAATATATATTTGTATAAATACATGCATGCACCAATGGCCCTGTTAATTCACAGCAGTTGACATTAATAAGATAGCTAGACACTTTATTTGAGAAATACATGGACATAAATTACATAACATCGATCAAATGAATAAACACGCTTAAGATTTTAGAGATGTATAGTCACAAAGACTTTATAGTCAGCAATTTAAACAACCATTGGATTAGACAGACAGATTCTCATTTCAGTTTCTGAAAACCATAATCCTGTCAAATGAATGACAATACCTAATTGCTCCTCTGACCATATATAGCAAACTATTTGGTTTAACAAAAGTTTCTAATAATTCTTTGCTTATTTATTGTTCAAAGTCAATGAATGTGATTGCAGGCCTTGACCTCCAATTAGTATACAGTAACTTTGACAATTTAAACACTGTACTTGAGAAATAAGTTAATTATCAATAATATGAGTAGTTTGTACCTAGTAATATATTACTATGATACAGTTTGTATTTACAGTTTGTCCAAGTGTGCATCATAATTAAATTAAGATATATTACCAGTAGTTCAAATTCACATGTAAACATAATGGATTTCATCCTGTACTGGTTTATCCATAAATCCTACCTTTTTTACAATGTCCATTCGAATGAGATCTGCTTTTGTTGTTCTTTTACATCCAGCAGCTGAAGAGAGTAAATTGAGGTTAATTAACCACATAAGATATCGCCTTTTTTGGTAAACAGAAATGATGTTCAAAAATAAAAAAATAAAAATTCCTAGTAGATTATATATCATTAATTACTCTAACACACTGTATGAGCAGATTTTAGTTACAACTTTACCAGTAACATACCTGCAAAAAACGGCCAAATTGCATCCAGTGCTGAAGCAAAGTCAACAGCAGTCCTTAAAATAGAAATAATCACTATACATTCTGTACGTATGAGATCATCCTCCATACTCAAGGGGCTCACTTTCGCTCTCCGGCCCACCCTTGGAATATGTCATAGCAAAATGGAAGGCTAAGATCAGTGTGCATCACCTTACGGATGAGATGAGAAGACTAATTTGTACCTGTAAAATTGACTGGCTTTGAAGTCGTGTTTTGCTCCTCTCTAATCTTCAAAGAACAAGGATCAGCCTAGCGATTGGTCAGTGTGTTTTTTACCAGAGACCAATCAAATAGCTAGCTGCGTGCCTTCAATTTTGCTACATTTGTATGACATATTCAAGGGGTGCAGAGAGCTTAAGTAAGTGTAACCTCTTGAGTATCGAGGATGGTATGATATTGACAATGAAAAACATGATATCATCAAGAAAATACTACAGAAGGATATCATTAAGTCAGTCATTTCACTCGAGACAGAAACAATGAAACATCCTTCCTTAGTGTAATACAATCTGTACAAAAAAGTTATTTTATGATACAATCTGTATGCACACATATCACACACATACATGTACATTGTATGTCCTAAACTTATGCCAGGGATATATGTTATAACTCCTTTGTCAGGGATATATGATTCTCCCACACTTCATATACATGTGCATTCTCGTTTTTGCTGGGGAAAGATAAACCTTTGGCCTTGAGGAATATTGCTCAGACCATGCAGGTCTTTGAATCATGAACAGAACTCATCCGAAGTCCATAATTTATAGTACTTACCTCCCCTGATTGTCCTTGAGATAGAGGTCAGGTTTGTATTCCATCAATTTCATGATGACCTTTCCATGACCTTGAAAGGCAGCACAGTGTAAGGCTGTCCACATTGTGTTGTTGTTACATGTATTAATATCTGCTCTGAAACAACAATTATAGATCCAGTCATGCAGTGACACATCAGTAATATTCTGTCAGTATTTCATTATCAGTGATATACTGTCTGTATACTGGTCTGTTTAAGTTAAGCTTCTCAGAAATTTTTAATGAACATATTCAAAATTGTCCTACACCATGTAATGTATATACAGTTGTACACTTCTATAATCATTGACATACCTGCATTCCAGCAGAACTTCTACAATTTCAGCATAACCCCAGAAAGCTGCCACAGCCAATGGAGTCATCCCATCCTTAGACCGTTCATTGGGAGGTCCACCTTGTCGGAGAAGTTCCTTCACCAACTGATTTCAAGTAATAAGAATATAAGGCATCAAAATACTTTTTTTTTTTTAAGCCTTTATGGGAAGCTGAAACTTTCAGATTTGCATACAAAATACAATTATCTTTGCTATAAATACAGATATCTTTAGGTTAAGGGAAAATTGGATATATATCTCTCAATCTCTTCGATTCAGATATTTGTATACCTAGGTAAGTGAATTTCAATTAGAGATTGATGTTTTTCAATTAAAGAGATCTATATTTAAATTACAAAAGAAATATCTTTTTAAATAAAGCATACATGTAATTCATTTAACTTCATTGTATATCTATCTCAAATTCAGTTACAGAAACCTCTATTTCACACACATGCAGTCTCATTATATCATATTTGATAATTACTGGTACAGCTATCTTTTTTAAATTAAAGTCACATCAGGTATGATTTTAACATACCTGTACAAAATAGAACATGTCATAAAACATCTGGTATAGCTCATCATGAAAAGGAAATATAGGATAATATATGATGCTAATTAAATTTCATCAATCAAAATTTTTATATGAAATTTACATATATATTTATGGTGGTTTCTAAAAAAAATAAGAAATTTACTTGCTTGTTAAGTTATGAGAGGATACCTTATAATTTTACTAATTAGTAACATATCCTAAATTTATTCTTCTCTGCATCTCATTCGTTTGATCGGGAATTAAAATATTCCCTGTGATAAAAGTTGAAGCAGTATATACATATATATATATTTATTGTCTGAGGACCTGTTTCTGTGCTTCAACTACTTCTATGCCCTGAAGTTTTGCACATTCATAATTGCTGTGACAGAGCATACTGATGTCATTGGTTTTGGGGAAGTGAAAATAAGCATTTGCATGGTTCATGTTGCAAGTATGTTGAAGAAAATGTAGTGAAAATTAAAAAGAAAATTAAAATTATTTTACTCAAATACATGCAGAAAAGTAACAATAGAAAACACAGAGAGAAGGTTATTTTTTATGTCATTTCTGTGTGGTAGAGTGTAATTGTACATATGATTACGACCGTCTTCTAGCTTCGCACTAGAGTAGAGGGAATTTCCCTTTAGCTCAGTCATAGAGTGTCCAACTAGGAACATTTAGGATTGCGAGTTCGATTCCTGAGGGAAGCACACTTATCATGTATTCTCTTTCCTGTTACAATGTGACCATGGCCCTTCCTGTGGTGACAGGAAGTAAGAACCTGGGTTATGGTGTTCGAGTTCATAACATTCCGATACCAAACGGTGTCGGAGAATTCCACGTTTTCATACAGCAGTGCGCTCTGGCCCCCACACCAGACATCTACTATGTCAAAATGTCTAAGTCTGGTGTTAGGGCCAGAGGAAACGCAAGATTATTTATATTGTACATAGGATTTCGGTATGTCACCTTCTAGCTTTACAGTGCTAGAAGGAATGTCCCTTATGCTCCCTTGAACATCTGACNGGGTTATGGTGTTCGAGTTCATAACATTCCGATACCAAACGGTGTCTGAGAATTCCACTTTTTCATACAGCAGTACGCTCTGGCCCCTACACCAGACATCTACTATGTCAAAATGTCTAAGTCTGGTGTTAGGGCCAGAGGAAACTCAGGATAATTTATATTGTACATAGGATTTCGGTATGTCACCTTCTAGCTTTGCAGTGCTAGAAGGAATTTCCCTTATAAGCTCCCTTGAACATCCGATTAGGAACCTAGGGATTGTGGGTTTGATCCCTGGTGGAAGCACATGTACACCTTTCTCTATCCTGTTACAATTATATAATATGTCACAATTTGTCTTTGAATGACTATATTAAACTATGACTGAAAAACATATGCAAAACATTTTGTGGTCATTCAAATATGTATCAGTCTAATACACTTTTTATTTATACATTACAGTATTTTAGACTTTACATGTATCATTAATACAGTATCATTTATAGTAGGCCTATACAGTCTTTGCAATAAGGAGGGCAAAAAAACTGGTCAAGACTTAAATGACAACAGTAATGATTAAGGTGTCATTACATAGATCAGTATTTAGGAAGTGATATCAAATTGATTTTCCTGATAAATTTAAAAACTCACATTGTTGAAAAGCAACGTAAAGCACGTTTCTGTTTAAGTTTGCTTTAATCAGAAACTGGTCATCAGACGCTACCATAATGCATTAAACAATTTGAGTTATCTCCCTTCAATAGGAAATTAGAATATAACATATATATATATCAATAATTTACAATATTTCACGTTCACAACTTCACATTGTGATAGATTCATATTTACATTGTTGTCATGCATAACCCTCGAATGTTGGTACCAGTTATGCAAGTGGCTCTAAGCGTACGTGCTTGAAAATATTAACCTAGATCCGAGAAAATCTGGCAAAAGAAGACTGAAGAAGTTGAAAGTTGACAATAGCAACGGCTTGCTGTGGTCTCTTCTGGCCTATCTCGTGAAGAGCTTGTTTTCTCAAATGTAGGTTTGAACCCCCCTCGTTAATTAGTACTAATATAATAGCATGGCAGGTGCAGAATGACGAAAACTTACTGTCAAATCTCCGCTAGCGGCGGCGTTGGCAACACTCATGGAAGCCGCCATATTGTTTACCTGTAATACGTCAGGTGTCACGTGACAATAACTTACCATGTGCTTGCCAAGTCAAAACACGGTGCTGTCATGATCACAAACACATGGTCGCTTGAACTGACGTGTGCTGAGCAGACGATAAACAAGTCATTCTTAAAAATGAAGTTTCACATACAATGAAGGATGGAGTTAAACAATAATATTATCAAGCCAGCAAAACAATGTAAAAATAATTGGAAAGTGAGATTCAAACATTCGAACATACCGGCTGTCATCGGGATTCCTGTAGCAGCAGCAGTCGTGTGCTACATCAACTCGTTGGAGGGTGACTTCCTTCATGATGATATGTTTGCTATAAAATCGAATCGGGATGCTAGAGGCGAATCTTCCTTATCTGAAGTGTTTTATAATGATTTCTGGGGAAAAGCTATGACGGATAAAACCAGTCACAAGTCCTACAGACCGATAACAGTATTAACTTTCAGGTAAGATATATATATATATATGTAGCTGGAACATGTATTCCACCATAAATGTCTTAAACTTTCCATGGTAACATCTTTGCATTAATATACGATTTAAGTGTATATGTAGATTCAGATTGTTTTTCCCCAATTAAAATGTTATTTTGATGTTGTTGTATTTTTTAATTGTTGAATAATTTGCAGTTCAATACACAAAATATAAATATACTGATGTCTATATATGAACACTGCTGGAAAAAGTCATTCCAATTTTTACCAAAACTGAAATTAACAATACAAAACGATTTATATTTCTGGTATGAATCTATCTATGATTGATTTTATACTGTACATGTTGTATATTTTTCTCATACAATGTATTATTAGTTCTAGAAACCATTTTGACTGCTTCTGAGGGCTGGATCCTGAGCTATATTTTTTATATTTATGTTATAATTAAATATTATTCATGCATGGTGTGTATATCTACACAATATTTTTACATTGTTAATTCTTAAAAAGAAACTACTGTATCCATGCAACTATTACTATGTTAAATTAGCATGGGAATGGAAAAGGCACAATTCTTTGTCACATTATTGTTATTTATGATACACTAAAGATTTTTTTGTGTAGTATTTTGTCAGTTTCAGATTCTAAGTACATATTTTAATCATTTTTGGGTGGTACATTTTATATATTTGTCATATGCTATTGCCTCAGTTTTGTTTTAAAGCTCGTACATTTTTCTAGCTTTTCTCATATGGTCATATGAAACACACATTTTCAGTAATTAGTATTCTTCCACATGAGGAATAAAAATGATTTGTTTATGCTAATGGATTTATATAAAAAAAAATACAGTATTCAGATCATTTGCATAAATGTGTGAATAAATACTCAAGCCTCATATCATCCAGGGTTGTGTGTGTCAGGTTGCATTGTACACTGTTGCTGTCACCAGCTGTAACACAGTGGAGTAAAAGTAAACTAATGTCTACAGTAGTATTTCTGTATTTAAGTGTGTATCTTCACAATTATTGAAACATCAAAATAATAAAGTTAAGCAAAAGAAGTACAAGATTATCAAAAAATAAAGGATTAGTATTTGAGAATTTCAGGCTTTCAATACAACTGTAGAAGACCATAGAGTAACATCAGTTGTTGTCATAAAAATACATAAATGTTCAAAGTTTTAATGTCAGTTGTGTATCAATTTGATATATATATATTACAGTATTACACAGAAAAATCCCTTTCCTTTTGAAAAGGCAGTCAGTGATCTTTATATGTCAATTTTAACGTATTTTTGCATAGCATATTTTTCATTACATTCTATACTGCATGTAGTTTGCTAGCTAAGAATAAAATCTTTTACCTTTAGCTCATGAGAATAAAATCTTTGACATTGTCATATATATCCCAATCAATATCAAATTATTAATCAAACAGCTTCTGTGTGATATATCATCGTGCAGCACATTACTTATCTGATCATCTCTGTGTCCTTTAAACAGACATTTTTTGTGTGATTAAAATGGTGCTGTATTAAAATGAAACATTAGCAGACAACAGGATCATTGTAGCAGCCTGTAACGGTGTGTTAACTGTGCACTCCTACCTGATATCAGGTATCCTGTGCTATAGTACATAGTAACCACAGACAGTGTGTGTTTTAAAGGGCTGCAGTCAATGATAATGGCCACATTGTTTTTAAGGTAGATGGATTGGGAGTCCATGCATTTTTCTAATTTGATACTCATATATATACAGTAGGTGGGACTGCAGGGACTCATATTTGTCAGAGAGGTGATTAAAGGTATTAAATCAGTATATAAACCTATATGCAAATATTGATCACTTATAACACAGAGACTTGAGCAAGTCTAATATGCTGTATCATGATAGTAATTTAATGATAAAAGTAAATATGAAAGTATTGACTGTGAAGATTATCAAGTTATATGGGGCAAACAAGCACTGTGACATATAATTCTTTATATATATATATGTTTATGTTTAATCCTGATACAGTTTGTTTAAGGTAATTTAATTCAGTGTACAGCCCTAAGGGATACATAGTGAAACCAGCCATAAATAAAGGGGTACACCTGTTGTCTACACAAATAATTAAGCTAGTATTGATGTTTTTAAAAGGAATTGGAAACTAATAGGTACAATTGTTATGAATTAATATGATTAAAATAACATTTAGAGAGTACACACATTATATACTGATAAAACATTTAGGTTCAATGTGTCAACTTTAAAACTTAATACTTACATATATAGTTACCGTAATCCTTTGGACACTGGTCAATATACCAGAGTTTTAAAGTTTTCTCATTGTTTCTTATTTTCTTCCAGAAATATTTGCAAGCTTTTTTCAATACCACATACAGTACAGTGGAACCTTTAAATCATATTACATCAATTATATTACTACTTTACAGTAAAACCTAGTAGCCTGATTTATATGTAATGATCATCAGGACAATAGTATTATCATTTTTTTTTATATTAAGGAACAAAATATGGTGGCTGATCTGTGCCATATCTTTGTTCCATGGGCAATAAATAAGACGAAAAAAAGCAAACCTTAATTCTTGTTCTTATGTCATCCTTAAAAAACAAAACAAGGAGAGTTATAAGTTACTAAATCTTAATTGTCTCTTCTGGAAAAATGATGACACCAAAAAAATGGCACAAATCTGCTACCATAACAAAATACTTGTTTGTCAGTTTGTTATACAGAAACAATCATAAAGTGTCATTTACATCTATTGTATACAATGTACCAGTTATATAACAGGAGAAAGAGAAATGCAACGGCCGGACAGGGTTCGAACATGGGAATGTCCCTCCGAACTCTAGATAGATGCTCTACTAGTTGAGCTACCTAGCTGGTCACTGACTATCAACCCAGTCCAGTTCTGCTACATAATTATAATATTGAAGTCCTAGTTTTCTTGTATTCCAATAATAATGTGGAAAGGACAGTTTTTGTGTACCTTTTTTTCAATAAGTAACTATTGAACCAATTTTAAAGTCTCAGAGTCATTGTAATAGCTGTGATAAGGTAGCTTCTGACAACGAGACAATTTTTATACATATTGTGTCATCAGAGGAGGCTGGGGTCTTATTATTAGTACTATTTATTAACCATACACCCATTATTACCCCTGTCACCAGACTAATACCTTCCACATCCTCATTACACATAAGTACAGTTTCATCCTGAATATTTTACACATATTTTTAATTTGGTTAAAGTCGTATAAAGCTGTCTTGAATTCCTATATAAACATTTATTGAATGAATAATGGAAACTTTAAACCTAACGTTCAAATTTGAAATGTATCCATGTACATGTTTCGGTCTACTCAACTCTGGTACATACAGTGCTATTAGCTATTACGTGACTCACTATAATTATCAGGAAAAGGTTAGCTTGCTTTTTAAAAGGTGTTAAACAGCATAGTTACTTCCCTATTCGTACGTATACCTGTCAAAAGTCTAAGTGTATTTTGTAATGTGCCCTGAACATTATGGCCCAACCCATGCTGTACAACAAGTACAGGGAATTTGAAAGAATGCTCTATTGTTCATTATGTATTATTATGATATAAAATTTGTTAGTTTTTTATAGGGATTTTTATTTAAAGAGATGTCATTTAAAACAAATTTCTTGTGAAATCTCTGTGTATGTGGGCAATTTCGTTTTAAACTCTAGGACCCACTATAAAAGTGTACATGTATTCCTGGTTTGCACATGTTGCAGGTACTCTTGATGTTACAAACTGAGATAACTCTTGATGGTGATAAAAGTTGCAAAAGTCAAATGTATCACTAAAAAATCCATTAAATATGAGTCATTCTATGTAGTCCATTGTGACTTACTTGTGTCCCTGTAGTGTAATTGACAAGATTTGTTTTTCATTGTATTGGTCACCTATTGTGTCCAGTGACTATTTTATCTGTAGGTGATTCAAAGTGACCATTTAACTTCACCTATAAAGTGCCCTATAGCTATATAGGTATTAGGTATCAAGCTGCAATAAAGAGTGTGGCCAATTCAGAAATAGGCCCATTATGTCCCTAATCTAAATTGATCTTGTGAAATGGTGTACTTTACGTATCCTTATCTTATTGGAACAATTTAGGGGTTACCCAGGTATGGAGAACAAACTTCTGTAAGATAATTAAGAAAAATGTATATGATATACTATTAATACATTTAGTAACAGTGTGTATAGGTGTAGATTTATTTTTCCTACACATTATTGATGGATTCAAACATGAAAGGTCATACAGGGTTCATGTTTATTCAATTGGGGAGGATGCATCTAATTCAATAAATGCATGTCCATTTAAGATATTTTTCAAATTCTACTTTTATGTACATTTATAAAAAACAAAGTTATCACCAGTTTAATGGACCAGTGATCTGAATTAGTCGGTCCTATGTAGAGATTGTTACTCTCAGTACCATTTTATATGATAAAATTTAATTTGTGTTTATTTTCCATGACGCCTTTGATATGTATTTGTTGATAGAGGTAGCGGGTTTATGTGATAAACATCAGTAGCTTCTCAGGTTATCAGTACAATGTTTACTGAGGGGTAAATTGTCCAGCCTTCAACACATGTGATAACAAATTTTGACAAATTTTGACCCTGAGGACAATTCTTTGTATCAAAATGTCAACCTAATCTAGGCTTATATTCCTCTACCAGGCACTGATAAGTGCTGAGACAGAAATGAAAAATTTTAATGGGTTTTTTTACAACGTTAAAGGCCTAATATATATATATATATATAGGTATGATAGCCTGCTAACAAGTACTAGCTATCAAGTACTTGTCACTTTCCTTTTGGTTTAGCTAAACCTTTTCGCTGAATGCAATAAAAGTCACTTTCAGTAAAAGTAAATTGGACAGTGTAACTGTACTGCATGACTTAATTCATTCTCACTTAGAAATGGTGGAAAATATTACTTCCATTCTGATTTGCGAAATATTTTGAAAAAAAACATTGACTGCATTTATTGCACTAATGTTAAAGATGTCCTGTTGATCTCTAAGCCTGAGCATCATCTATTCCTGTCCATAAACCTTTATAGTAACTAATTAACTATTATGCTTGATTTCAAAACATTTTTCTATAATCATGGAGGAGTCTAATTTCCAGCTGTAGGTCATATTTGTTAGGGTAAAAAGCTGGTGCCCAGCTAGCAGTCAGACGTTGGTCAAACTATAGCTAAGGTCCAACGTGACACCAAACGTTGGCTTGACAAACATTCTGTCAACGAATGTAATTCAATGTTGGGCGAACGGACAGTACATTGGTGATCTAATGTTGATTACCGCATCTGGTGCAGGAATGTAACGTTGGGCCAACATCATCACATCTGTGGTCCAGATTCTCAGGTACTGATGTCAGTACAACATTGGTCAAAAGTCAGTACTTAACGTTGTGTTGGAAATATGACACTGGTTACATTAAACAAATATCAAAATGACGTTATCGCCTCTTTCGTCTAGTCATTTTCAATGTATGTTTTGTCATTCTTTCTGTGCTAATTTTTTTAACAATATAGTAAGAAACACAATGGATAAGTATTTTGTTACGACAGATGTTGCTGTTAGACTTTCTTTATTGGCGACAAGGCAACAGAGGAATGAAACTGATATAGTTTGAAACCTAATTAAAGATAATCAAATTATTTAAATTGCCTTTTAAAATTTGAATGTGCACTTTTTATTTCACTATCATCAGTAAGAAGACTGATAAAAATAGTCATTTGTGAACTCTACTGAACTTAAATTGAGTTTTACTCTAGGGGAAATTAAAATGTAGATAGATGTATTTAGCTACGGGTTATATTGTGAAATGTGAAGTACAGTTATGACTGTTGCAAATTTTTAGTGCACAAAATGATTGAGAGGTTTAAATTTACTACATACAAACTGTCAGAGAAGTCCATAAAAAGATTCTCGCAGAAAAGATGATGAATTGAAGTGATTTGCACTCAATCTATTTAAATTTTGCTGAAAATGTCTGTTCTATCACATGAAGAAAGGACAAATTTAGTATCCATTTAAACTGAATACTCTGGTGGACTATTATACTCAAAGGCTATAGGCAGATGGGTATAAACATTGCTTTTTACTATATATATTACATGTGTTTTATTATATAAAAAAAAAATAAAAAAAATTGCCTTGTTATATTACATGTTTTTTATTATATAAAAATAAAACAAACTTTATCCATATAAGTAGCTTTCATAAAAATCAAACTGAACACAAATGATTGTTTTTCAACTTCAAATGTTTTTGGTGACTGCAACTGGCAGACTAACACAGTCACCTTTCAGTTGTATAGTATCATGTATTATGAAGTACTTTCAAACTATTAAATAACTTTGCATCATTTTGATTTTTGATCCTCCATTCTTCAATATTGATGTAAGCTGATCAAAGCTACCATGGTTCACCAAAACAGTAAGATAAGTGTTGCATAGCTGTGCAAATATAGTTAACACCCAGTCACATGGTTTAGACCTCTTCACAATAAAGCTGTAAAAAAATAATAAATGAATCTCATGGAAAATAGCTGCATACAGTTTTCTTTCTGGATGCTTAATATTAAACTGGTAAACTTAAAATGTTACTGAAAAAAACATATTATGTCCTAAATAAGGGGATGGGTAGGTTGTTTAGCTGTCAGTTTGGTCATAACATTTAATTGTCCGTATGGTCAACACCATGGCAACAATCTGATCATTTAAAAACCAAGGAATGTGGGAGGTAGTGTTAACATTTTTGCCTTTATTAGTGCCAGGACACTTTAAACACTTTGCTAAAAAAGGGGTGTTTATTAGGATAAAAAAAATTGAAATATGATAAAAAAATTGTTGCGCAACTTTGACCAGCAATTGATATCACACCCAAGGAAATTAAAATGTTCATCCATTCAATGCTTTATGGGATGTCTCTTCTTTAAAGTGTCAGTACTGTACTTTTAATCACTAATTGGGTCTGATCAGGTCTGGGCCAAGGTCTTTACAATTTCAGTTCCTCCCAAATAAAGGAAGGGGGTAGGAGCAATAATTATGGCAAATACAGTATATCCTGAGTGAACGATAATTTTGTTACCAACAGAATTGTTTTCTACTGATATAATGTCATGTTTGAGTACTCATCATTGTTAAATATTAAACTTTTTCAGATGGAACTACTATCTTAGCAATGGCAATCCCTACAGCTTTCATGTGACCAATGTTTTACTCCATGCCATCATGACGGGACTACTTGTTTATACCTGCCTGGACATATTTCTCCTCCAACCTCGAGTATGTCTAATGACGGGAATACAGTTCGCTGTTCACCCCATACATACTGAAGCAGTAAGTGTACAAAAACATTCAAGTTCTATAAAGATATGTTAGACTCATCATGATCAGTTATAATACAACTCCAGTCAAAGATTCTGCTTGTTAGCATCATCACATTGACTTAAATGTGGCAAGATTTTGTCTATACAAAATGTATTTGCAAAGTTTTCTACGTACATATTCATTTATAAAAATGCAAATGGACTGGTCAAAGTTTTGAACAAATTGAACATTTTCTCACATAATATTATTTAAAATCATCTTTTTGAAGGAATTTTTGATTTCCTTAAAAGTAATCCATTCGTTCTAAGAGGTCTGAGAGTACATATATCACTGAATGTATCAAAAGGTATGTTGGAAGGTCTGAGGGCCTACAACTTCACATAGTAAATCATGTGGCAACAAACTGCAGTTGTTTTTAAAGTTGTTTGAATGTTTTAAATTGATGTGACTTTTTAATATGATATTGGATACATAGATGATTATTAATAAGTCCAAATGAACTGATAGAATTTCAACACTGGTATTTTGCTGCTGGATTTTGAAGGTTAGAGATAAAGGTTCATGGCTGTATTATTTGTGAACGGGGCACAGTCATGTCAACTGTAGACCATATATGTTTTCTTCAGTATAGCTTGGTTAAATGTTGCCTTTCTGTTTGAATGGACACCGAGTTTTAACATCATTAAACTATGTAATTATTCAGATTATATACAATTGCATTCTTAAGTGTACTTTATAGAAATCTTGAGGATAACATTATACTGTGTTTAAACAAGTACTATAAAATTTAATTTACATAATTTACAAGTCCATTCTGTTTTAATGGGATGTATTAGACTGTAAATCCTAATTAACATAATAATGCTTACAGTGTTTAGGAAATAAAACAATGGTGTCAGAGATAGTTAATTCTCTCTTGCTTTGACCCCTATGACCTGCATTGTAGAAGTCCAAATACACAGTGGGAGGACCCTACCGGAGACTATAAGGGAGTGTAAGCTTCAGTCATGTATATATAATTTAATGAGTCTTGTTCAGTACTGTGTGAATTGTGACAGATTTATTGCCTTGCCTGTCTGATACAGCAGCTAACTAAATAAATTAACGGTCCTAAATGTTCCTCTTCGCGGTTAAATATGTTGAACCCTCGAGCTCTCATCCTTCTCTGAGGCAAGTATACAATCTATTTTAATAATAGATAAAGAATACTAAATTACTAACTTGGTATACATGTATGCTGGTACATATTTGCCAGTTTTTCTAGAATTGAGGTATCTTTTCACTAAATTTAAAAAAAAATCTTTATTATTAGTCAATTCATGTAAAATCTCACGGATTTGGCTGTACTGGTAATTTTTTAAATCATCTTAAAACCTCTCACTACTTTAAGTTCTGGAAACAGATGTTTATTAATTAATCAAAATATTTCATTTTGAGATTGGATTAATGCTTTAATTGATCTTGAAAATAGTGAAAAACCATACTGCTGATCATTAGAAGCCCATGCCAGTGTGTAAGTAAACTGTATCACAATCCTGACTTCATTTTTCTTTCAAGAGGACACCCAGGAGGGTGTGAGTCATATCAGAATTGTGTTAGAATTGTTAGAGATTTGATTCCTTCCTCATTATGTGATTTGGGTACAGTAGATCTATGGGTATTTAAACGTGTCTTTAGAAATGACTGTACATAGGTTCTCTGCAACATTATTTAAGAAAAGTAAGGATTAAGACAATTGGAAACCAACACCCTGATGCATGGTTAATCAATGTATCGGCTGAAGTCTAGCATGTACAGTCATTTCCCTACTATAGTGTAATCTCTATATTTCAAAATCAAATTTCTTTGCATCTATCTTGCCCATTTCATAAGTGATTAACTCATTCACCCCTGAAATTTCATAATGAACTATTCCAACTTTTGATTCGAAAGAGTTCAAATGTGTCTTCAGGGGTGAATGAGTTAAATCGCTATAAAGAAAGAAAATTTCAGTTCTTTTGTACTTACGATTCCAGCCACAGTTTGCTAAATATCCAGGAAACAACAGGGATTGCAGATTTATTCAATTGTAATGTCCTATTAGGTGCTTACAATAGAACTTCTGTTTCTGTCAGGTACAAAACGATGGTTCAGGTAATCAGAATACCTGAAATCAATATATCTCAATACTGAAGGTCATTCTGCTTTAAAGAATTACTTAAAGTTTAGCAAAGATGTTCAGTGTGTAAATTTCTTCCGTGAATTATGCTGACTGCTTTTAAGTCAAAACATATATATATGTCGCTGTGTACAAATAGTGCAGTTATAATCATCAATAAATGTAGATTTTTATAAATATATAATTATCACTATGTACAAATAATCTGGTTATTGTGGTAAATTAATTAAGAAGGATTTATAACTAACTGTGTACAAATAATGTGGTTATAGTCGTAAGCATTATCACGTTGGATATTCATGTCGCTATGAACAAATATAGTGGCTTTGACTGTGAATAAATCAGGATTGATTAATATTGTAATTTTAAGGTGATTTTTACCAATGAGGAAATCCTCTAATACAAATCCTTATACTAAAGTAATATTAAGGACAATAGTTACTCCAATACGAAGTCCAAAACTAAAGTAATATTAAGGGCAATAGTTACTCCAATACAAAATCCAAAACTGAAGTAATATTAAGGGCAATAGTTACTCCAATACAAAATCAAAACTAAAGTAATATTAAGGGCAATAGTTACTCCAATACAAAGTCCAAAACTAAAGTAATATTAAGGGCAATAGTTACTCCAATACAAAATCCAAAACTAAAGTAATATTAAGGACAATAGTTACTCCAATACAAAGGCCAATACTGAAACAATGTTAAGGGCAATAGTTACTTGAATACAAAGTCCAAAACTAAAGTAATATTAAGGGCACTAGTTACTCCAATACAAAATCCAAAACTAAAGTAATATGAAGGACAATAGTTACTCCAATACAAAGTCAAAAACTGAAGTAATATGTTGTGGACAATAATTACTCCAATACAAAGTCCAATACTAAAGTAATATTAAGGACAATAGTTACTCCAATACAAAATTTAAAACTAAAGTAATATCAAGGACAGTAGTTACTCCAATACAAAGGCCAAAACTAAAGTAATATTAAGGACAATAGTTACTCCAATACAAAGTCAAAAACTAAAGTAATATAAAGGACAATAGTTTCTCCAATACAAAGTCAAAAACTGAAGTAATATAAAGGACAATAGTTACTCCAATACAAAGTCCAAAGCTAAAGTAATATAAAGGACAATAGTTTCTCCAATACAAAGTCCAATAGTTTCTCCAATACAAAGTCCAAAACTAAAGTAATATAAAGGACAATAGTTTCTCCCAATACAAAGTCCAATAGTTTCTCCAATACAAAGTCCAAAACTAAAGTAATATAAAGGGCAATAGTTACTCCAATACAAAGTCCAAAGCTAAAGTAATATTAAGGACAATAGTTACTCCAATACAAAATCCAAAACTAAAGTAATATTAAGGGCAATAGTTACTCCAATACAAAGTCCAAAACTAAAGTAATATTAAGGGCAATAGTTACTCCAATACAAAGTCCAAAACTAAAGTAATATTAAGGGCAATAGTTACTCCAATACAAAGTCCAAAACTAAAGTAATATTAAGGGCAATAGTTACTCCAATACAAAGTCCAAAACTAAAGTAATATTAAGGGCAATAGTTACTCCAATACAAAGTCCAAAACTAAAGTAATATTAAGGGCAATAGTTACTCCAATACAAAGTCCAAAACTAAAGTAATATTAAGGGCAATAGTTACTCCAATACAAAGTCCAAAACTAAAGTAATATTAAGGGCAATAGTTACTCCAATACAAAGTCCAAAACTAAAGTAATATTAAGGGCAATAGTTACTCCAATACAAAGTCCAAAACTAAAGTAATATTAAGGGCAATAGTTACTCCAATACAAAGTCCAAAACTAAAGTAATATTAAGGGCACTAGTTACTCCAATACAAAATCCAAAACTAAAGTAATATTAAGGACAATAATAACTCCAATACAAAGTCCAAAGCTAAAGTGATATGTTGTGGACAATAATTACTCCAATACAAAGTCCAATACTAAAGTAATATTAAGGACAATAGTTACTCCAATACAAAATTCAAAACTAAAGTAATATTAAGGACAGTAGTTACTCCAATACAAAGTCCAAAACTAAAGTAATAAAAAGGACAATAGTTACTCCAATACAAAGTCCAAAACTGAAACAATGCTTAGGACAACAATTACTCCATTACCATGTTCTAACTCGATTATTTTGCAATATATGTAGTTTTAATGTTGGATCAGTGGATCGTGGCAATAAGTGGATGTACTTACCTTTTATTTCACCCCAACATGATGATGTACCAAAGTGTAAATGAATAGGGGTATATTTTTATGGCTGTGTTATTTTGGGGGGTTTCATGGTAAGATGAATGGATACATTTTAACTCAAGACGATGGGGAATGTTTTTGATGAAGTATCACCACCACAATGTGTGTTTCAACAGGAATGCAAAAATGTTATTACTTTTCTGGTCGATATGTGCATTTGAATAGTTTGTCTTTATATATTCTAGGTAGCAGGACTTGTTGGAAGAGCTGATGTCCTGGCTGGGATTTTCTTTTTTATATCATTCATTTTATATATCAAGTAAGTACCTGCATTTAAAATGAATGTAGTAAGACTTGTTGATAAAATAATGTGTTGTGGTCGCATTGTGCAATTTTATTGCATTAAATCTTGGATTCAATCAAAATGCACTGTACTTGAGTACATGGTTAAGCTTTCTATATTCCATTTGATGAAGTCAAGTAGGATTGGATATTATTTAATCAACTTATAAATACCCCACCAGGTGTTCAAACTTAATGACAAAACCATTTACAATTACCTTTGAAAACACTATAAATGTAGGGGAATCATTTATGTTATAGTATGTGTATGATTCAGTTGAAAGTATAGTAGTGAGGGGGGTGAGTGCTCTGTTAACTATTTTTGGGTGGTTGTGTGCCCAGTTGATAGCACGCTTGCCTTTTACCAAGGCGACTGGGGTTCGATTCCCCGATCAGATGTGAAAAGGTATGAAGTTACTGGTACTGCACGACCACGTTGGTTTCCTCAGGGTACTCCAGTTTCCTCCCACATTAAGACCCCCCCCCACCCCCTGCACACTAACATCTGTGCCAACAAGAGTGATTTATATAAGTTGAAATAACTTGTTTCATAATTGTTGTAAAATAAATGAAGTTTACATTACGTTACATTAATAACTTTTGTTCATTTATCATAACAGGTTTTCTTGATTTCATGTTATCAATTGTACGTAATGTGTACGTACTATTTTCTTGGTTGCGATAAGATCCGAGAAAAATTTCAGTAGGTCTGTGAGAAGTCGTTATTACCTAGAAATGTCGTCTATATTGTGAAATTCTAAATTCTATGATCGCAATTACCCATATTCATACAGCACAGTTGTTCGTAATGTATATATTTACTGATACACAATAAGCATGCTTCTGTCGGTGTATGTATAGTGCTACTTCCATACACTTATCTATAAACTTGATCGATGCACATCTCATATGCGAGATATGATGTAAACAGTTAAAAAAGGGTGCCTTTTTAATTTTATAGTGAAGTGAAATATTTTTTAACCATTAAATATACTGATTTATTACGTGCTACATAGACATGTATATGCTATTTCATCAGTTGAATGTCATGTGGGTTTTTTCTGCCATAAAACAGCTACATGGTTTTGTGATGGGCACATATATTGTACAGCGATATCATCATATCATATATCTGTTTGTTAGAATATAAATTCATCTGATGCTGACATTGATAGAAATAATGTTATCATATCTGGTTCATCTTTACCTTGAAATGGACAAGAATAATTTAAGAAAAAGATATGATAACTCTATCAAATGTTTGTTTCCTGTCATTTAATTTTGAAATCCTACAATAACTGCAAGTTTGTTAAACTTCAAAAGATGTTTGAGTGGAAGCACATTGAGTATTGCCAATAAAGATGAACATATGATATGTACTAAAAACCACACAGTATAGTGATTTTTCATTATATGTTGTCTCTGTAGACAAGTAGTATCACATGACAGGTGGTCTCTGTAGAGAAGTAATATGTCATGTCAGGTGGTCTCCTTAGAGAAGTAATATGTCATGTCAGGTGATCTCCGTAGAGAAGTAATATGTCATGTCAGGTGGTCTCCGTAGAGAAGTAATATGTCATGACAGGTGGTCTCTGTAGAGAAGTAATATGTCATGACAGGTGGTCTCTGCAGAGAAGTAATATGTCCTGACAGGTGGTCTCTGTAGAGAAGTAATATGTCATGTCAGGTGGTCTCTGTAGACAAGTAATATCACATGACTGGTGGTCTCTGAAGACAAGTAGTATCTCATGACAGGTGGCCTCTGTAGACAAGTAGTACCTCATGATAGGTGGTCTCTGTAGAGAAGTAATATGTCATGTCAGGTGGTCTCTGTAGAGAAGTAATATGTCATGTCAGGATGTCTCTGTAGAGAAATAATATGTCATGACAGGTGGTCTCTGTAGAGAAGTAGTATCTCATGACAGGTGGTCTCTGTAGACAAGTAGTATAATATGGCAGGTGGTCTCTGTAGAGAAGTAATATGTCATGACAGGTGGTCTCTGTAGAGAAGTAGTATCTCATGACAGGTGGTCTCTGTAGACAAGTAATATCTCATGAAAGGTTGTTTCTGTAGACAAGTAGTATCTCATGACAGGTGGTCTCTGGAGACAAGTAGTATCTCATGACAGGTGGTCTCTGAAGACAAGTAATATCTCATGACAGGTGGTCTCTGTAGACAAGTAGTACCTCATGACAGGTGGTCTCTGTAGAGAAGTAATATGTCATGACAGGTAGTCTCTGAAGACAACTAGTACCTCATGACAGGTAGTCTCTGTAGAGAAGTAGTATCACATGACAGATGGTCTCTGTAGACAAGTAATATGTCATGACAGGAAGCCTCTGAAGACAACTAGTACCTCATGACTGGTGGTCTCTGTAGAGAAGTAATATGTCATGTCAGGTGGTCTCTGTAGACAAGTAATATGTCATGTCAGGTGGTCTCTATAGACAAGTAGTACCTCATGACAGGTAGTCTCTGTAGAGAAGTAGTATCACATGACAGATGGTCTCTGTAGACAAGTAGTATCTCATGACAGGTGGTCTCTGTTGACAAGTAGTACCTCATGACTGGTGGTCTCTGTAGAGAAGTAGTATCACATGACAGGTGGTCTCTGTAGACAAGTAGTTTCTCAGGACAGGTGGTCTCTGTAGAAAAGTAATATGTCATGACAGGTGGTCTCTAAAGACAAGTAATATATCATGACAGGTAGTCTCTAAAGACAAGTAGTATCTCATGACAGGTGGTCTCTGAAGACAAGTAGTATCACATATGGCAGGTGGTCTCTGAAGACAAGTAGTACCTCATGACAGGTGGTCTCTGTAGAGAAGTAGTATCCTAAGAGTGGTCCTTATAGGCAAGTAGTTTTTTATGACAGGTGGTCTCTGAAGACAATTTTTTTTTCTGAAGGCAATGATTACAAAATGTCACCTATGAGTGGTCAGTCTCTGAAGAAAATGTTCTCTGAAGACAATTAAAGTTCCTCTCTCTTGGCGGTCTCTAAAGACAGGCAATTTCTTATGACAGTTGTTTTGTAATTGGCAGGTGTTCTGAAGACAGGCATTTACCTCATTACTGGTAACAACAGGTGGTCTTCTTTGGCAGTTGATTTTCAATTAGGACCAACCATGAAATTGTGATTTAAATATGATATATTGAGCCACAATAAATGATATATCACAACCATCGTGTGTAGTCTGATAAGGGTGTCCTTTCAGTCATTGTTGACAGTTATTCTCAAGTTAAGACTGTACGTACGTGTTTGCTTTACCACAAACCTTGAGTAGAGATGTATTCTTAGGCCCAATCATGATCATGTTGTCTTGAATACACAGTTACAATATTCAGCATGGATGATTTGTGTTGCCCGCAGATAGTGTCAGATACAGTGCAGCCTTCTCCTAACTCTGAATTTGTCATGCTAATGACATAGAAAGCAATAACAACATGTTTTGTGTGGGAACATCAAAGCAGGAAATTAATATGCTTCTCACTGCAGAATGGTGTGATCAGAAATCTGATTGTCATTCACAGACATTTCAACTTGTTAAGGTCATCATCTGTTCTCTATGGAGTAAGATTTCAGGGACAGACTTGGAGAAATAATTACTGTATCAGGGAAACCAGCATAGAAACTCCCAATTAATTTCCTTTGCCGTGACAGGAAGATTGGTTGCATCTATGAAAAATGAGTATTGGGTTACAGACTGTAGAATTTTTAACATTTCTTTGATATTGTTGCATAAGATCGATGAGAAAATGTCTTGAATTCAGAAATCTAAGTGATACATTTTACCTAAACATGTTATTTTAATCTAAATTGTTGAAGAGTATTTAAAATGAATTCAAATTTGTTTGGTTAAATACTAGGGAGTACAAGATGGATTAAGACAGGAAGGTATACATGTTGTTGTTTCTTATTTTGTATTTCTGTTAATGCAGTTTATAAAGCTGTAAATCATTTCGAGTGTAATCCCACAGAGGTTGGAGTTGGTTGTTGATTGTTAGGACGTATATATCTTCGCAACATTTATAAGGTCATTTTGTCATAGCGCACTTCAATGATCCAGCTGCAAGTTAAGGGAAACAATATAGACTTGCTGTATCCAACTGCATGTTATCTAAGAGGCAACAAATGTGGGGCCCACTGCAGGTGTGTTGGTTTTCTTCTGTCTTCTACTTAGATGACATAGAAGAAACCAAAATTGATCTGCTGCCCCCATTGCAGCGGCGGAAAACTAACAAACCTGCAGTGGGCCCCACATTTGTTGCCTCTTAGATAACATGCAGTTTAGGAGGCACGGTAGTCTAGTGGTAGGATGCCGGGCTCGTGACCGAAGGGTTGCGGGTTCGAGCCAAGGCACGGCACTGTGTTGTATCTTTGAGCAAGATACTTTACTCCGCTTGTTCCAGTCTACTCAGCTGTAAATGAGTTTGGGGTTTGGGTAAGTGCTAGAATTGTTGAATGCTAGCTGTGAGCGTCGAAATGGCAGCACCGTCTGTATGCGCTTGTTCCAGTCTACTCAGCTGTAAATGAGTATGTGGTTTGGTTAAGTGCTAGAATTGTTGAATGCTAGCTGTGAGCGTTGAAATGGCAGCACCGTCTGTATGCTCCCAAGGGAGTTGAGAAAGATGTTGGCTGGTTGCAAAGGCCCTATACCTACCGATAATCTCACTCAGGCATTTATATCTTCATATGAATTTAGCTGTTTCGAGGATGTTAAACCCAAAACAACAAACAAGCAATTTAATTCAGGGATACTTTATATTGCACCAAATTATTTGTTCTACCATGAGTGCTTATACAAGGGCATGACATCCACCCAGTTATTATTCTGACAGGGAGCTAAACAGATGGGCCTAAATGGAAACACCATGAGTCAAAGTTTAGAAGTATTTTTACATACATGTCTACATTTAGCATTTTTTGTCATTTGTCTCTCTCTGTCTGTTTTCTTTTTATCTCCATCTGTCTTCTTAGCACATCAAGTTTTCTTTTCGTCCTCATCAGACTTTGGCTGCTAATATACATCTGTAATTTTTTTTTATATCATTTCCATCAAAGGTTAATTGGTAATTTGAAGGTTGATTGACCTTCAATCTGATTGGTTAATAATTTCTGCTTCATTGTAAACTTCACTATTTCTAACGTCATCTTTACTGAATGCTCAGATGATTAGAGAAAAAAGGTACTCACCTTTACTTACAATGTATGAGGTCATTTTGTGAGGTCATAATCATTCAAGGTTGACTTTCCATCACTCTGATTACAATGTAGTTGTTGGTATCTGTTTCATGACTTTAATGATTTTAACATCATTGTCACTAAACATCATGAACTTCTATTGGTTGTTCAGAAACAGACATCTATATTTTTGTTTCAGAAAATAAAGTGTCATTCAATGCCATTTCATTCCATATGTTTGGCAGTTATTTTCTAAACTTGTCTTCACTAAACTCCTTGGATCTGCAGTAAATACTGAATGATCACAAAAGGCTGAGGTCATTCTCCCTAAATGGTGTTTTAAGTTTTAATGACAAATGCTGTCCCAGTTGTTCAGGGAAAAGAAAAAAGGAATAAAGCATTTGTAAATGAAAGATCTCATTATGCATAGTTTGTGATATATAGTATATGTAAATTGATGGTCTGACATTATCAAACATAATTAGGATTGCTGTTTTTCAGGAACCTGATCAGAAACAAGCTAAACATTCAAATGATGTCAGCCGTCATGAAATACCTAAAAGATAAAATGTATTCTCAAATCTGCTCTTTTGTTGACAGGAGTCTAGATGTGAGATGGCAAAAGAGTTGTCTCCTCTTCCCAGAGGTACAGAGTTCAGTCCTCTTGTGTGGGAGCCTGGTGTCTGGAGGAGTGGCGATGCTGTGTAAGGAGCAAGGCATCACAGTCTTGGGGATGATTGCTCTGTACGATATCCTGGTCTGCTCAAGGTCAGGGGTGCTCAGGTCAGTACACTGTATTTTGTCTTTTATGAATTTTGGGATCACACTCTTGGGTTGGTTATTCTCTATGACATCCTGGTCCGCTCAAGACCAGAGGTGGTCAGGTCAGTATCTTGTGATTGGGATCACAGTCGTGGGTTCTAGTTACTCTCTTTGATATTCTAGTCTGCTCAATGACAGGGGTGGTCCCAGTAATATATTTCTGGTCTGCTCAAGGCCAGGGGTGGTTCCAGTAATATATTTCCGGTCTGCTCAAGGCCAGGGGTGGTCCCAGTAATATATTTCCGGTCTGCTCAAGGCCAGGGGTGGTCCCAGTAATATATTTCTGGTCTGCTCAAGGCCAGGGGTGGTCCCAGTAATGTATTTCCTGTCTGCTCAAGGTCAGGGGTGGTCCCAGTAATATATGTCTGGTCTGCTCAAGGCCAGGGCTGGTCCCAGTAATATATTTCCGGTCTGCTCAAGGCCAGGGGTGGTCCCAGTAATATATGTCTGGTCTGCTCAAGGCCAGGGGTGGTCCCAGTAATATATTTCTGGTCTGCTCAAGGCCAGGGGTGGTCCCAGTAATATATTTCTGGTCTGCTCAAGGCCAGGGGTGGTCCCAGTAATATGTTTCTGGTCTGCTCAAGGCCAGGGGTCAATATGGTCCCAGTAATAAATGTGATTTATTGTTGAGTAGTAAGGGGATGTTCTCAATGGTCTCCAGGGTTAACCAGCTTAGTATTGGGAGGTGTGTAACTGACATGGTGTGGGGAATTAATGGTGGGGAGAAGAAGTTGAGGAGCTATAAGTTAAGGGGCATCTTAGACTTGGGAATTTGTTTGCTGAATAACTAAAACCAGTCAAACAAACAAACAAAACTGGGGAATGGCCACTCTATAGTCTGTTACTGGAGATAGTTGGAGTCGGGTACAAGTCTTGTGAGATAGAGATAGGGGATCTAAATTGGTATCATGGTTTATTAAGAAGGAAGAAAACTGGTATCTGTAAATAAATCATAATATCTTACATTTGTTACAAATTTCCCCAAGTCAGTTTTAATCAAATACTCGATCTGTTTTTAAATTGTCAATTAAATTACTTTATGCTTCACAAAGTCCTGATCTAATTCCAAGGCAAAATGATTAAAAAAGAAAAATTTGGAAAACAATTTCTCTGCCAGTAGTTTGCTATTGTTGGATGACCTCAAAGTCACTACCTCAGGACACAGGACAGTATTGTTGAGTTTATAGGACTGTGATGGCGGATCTCGGGAGTGACATGACAGGCTAGAGGATTGAATCATAGGCATACATATATATGTCTGTCCTGTTCATTCATGATAATACCCCACTCCAAATCAATGTAAACAACATATATATGCCGGTAGCCTGTTTCGAGATGATAGAATCATACACATATATATACTTCACACATATCCGACCCTGTACATTTTGTATTAATACCTTTATGCTCAAGTGATTACTTTAGAGGTAAAATAAGTATGAGGACAAGGTCAAGGTGGCCATGAAAAGAACATCATGTTATGACTGAATATCTTGTATACTTCACAGGTTATTTTTATGTACAGCATGTTTTGTGTAATGCATCAAACAAAATATGTTCCTCTAGCATTACTTGTGATACATATCTAAAAGTTAGACCATAGAGTAGAAATTTTAATATATTCAGATTCTTTTAAGCTTAAATTATAGCTCATCCATTATAAAACGACTAAAATTCAAATCACCGACCAAAAATTAAATGAAAACGGTTAAAACATGCTGCCACAATCAAAACAACATTGAAAAGG